AACGTCCCAGATGAGCTCATTCATTCCTAAACACAGGTGACATGATGGAGGCTTTATGACAGGGACAAAGTTTGACACAACATCTTTTTAAAAGTCCAGGCTCATTTGCAAGTCCAGAATTTTAAGTAAATCTGACGCCTGTAAACAATGTGCTTGGTAATATTTTGCAGCTCACAGTAGGAATGTATTTCCTTATTTAGCTCGACTTCACGTGTTGTTATGTCTGAAGGAAAAACTGGAAATCACCTGATGATCCAGCATCAGCGTTTAAAATGTAACCAGAGCAATGTTTGTTTCCCAGCTGCTTTGTATCCTGGTTGTCCTGTCAAAAAGTCCTGTGAAGCAGTTTATCAGTCCTGTTGGAGAAGAGCAGATAGTCAGATCCTTAATTTAGTTATTCACAACTGTTCAAAAGCAAAAGTGATACAATGAAGCCCAATACTTCCCAACGAGCCAATAACCCGAGGTCATGACAGAGTCTCTCACTAGGTGCTGAATCAGGTACTTTCCACTGTGTTGACCCAAAGATCCTAAAAGCAGCACAATAAAATAATACTACAATGTTCTGTAATGATAAATAATGTTAATACTCAACATTAAGACAATAAACCTGGGCTGTGATCTGCAATAATATTGCACAAAAGTAAATCAATAAAAGAATCCAGATAACTATTCTGCAGTCACCTGATTTCTTGTAACTGCTGGAGAGAAAATGAAAGTAAGATTTTAAAATAACCAAAAACTCTCAGCAGCATTCCATGAGCAGGAGCAGCTTCAGTGTTTGCCGTTTGTCTCTTGGGATGATCCAAATCAAAATGACAGAACCAGGATGAGAAAAGACAAGATCTCAGTGATATATTATATTGACTGGAGACTGGATGAGCCACAGTGGAAGCAACACAAATCAGAACTACACATGTAGCATTGCCTGTTGCTGTAATGTACAACAATCTCTAAATTCATGTTTATCATAATTTCTGCAGGTAATTACTTCACTATTGTGAGACGTGCATTAATTAAAGCATTTAGCCTGTAAGAGAAAGCACAGAATTCATCCTCCTCTCTATTTCTAATCTGTTTAGCATTTCAACAACAACTTACTTTTCAGTGTTATCTACGTGGCAACAACAAAGTGTCAGGTGATGAATGAATCATCGCATTAAATATTAAGTACAGAAAGCCTGCAGACACTATTTGTCTTCTTGATCATCCTTGAACTGATTGTTGGAAATGTCCATTCCTCACATCTCCAAAATCTTCCATTTATACAAACAGTTTGTGTGTCTGATCCAGACCAACGCTATTAGAGAACAGAAGAGTAGAAAAACAATGAACGTGTGTCAGAAATAGTCAAATATATACTGTACACATATATACCTCTGGTGTCTGTAGGATGTAGGTAATGGACAAAATACAGTTGCTTTGATTAAAAAGGCAATAACAATATATCATCCATATATAAAAGGGTTTCACATTACTTTCATGTAAACAACAGTTAAAGGCCAAAAAAGGCCAAAACTCTTTTTCAAACACTCTTAAAGACAGCTGTTCAAGTCCTTTGGCTTATTAATTAAGACACTTGTCCAGCTTTATAAAATCACAGCTCATGTGTCTGTCACTTTATTGAAGAGGCTGATTTGCAGCCCTTTCACAGGCTACAGCATCGGGTTTTACTACTTATGGAAACATTAGCTTTGCAAATACAATTGGAAATATTGCTTGATGTAGCTGTTCTGATTATGTTAAATGTTTTTACTTATTTTTGTTAAGTGGGCAAAATACTGATTTTTTTCCCCCTATAAGAAAGTGCATCCCTTTCATTGGTCTCTGAATGCTACAAGACATAGACAGATGCCCACCTGATAAAGTAATGAATCCATAATACACTATTGTTCATTAATATTCACATTCACAGCCAACATCTGCGTCAAACATCTCAGAAGTAAACTGAAAGCAAGTTTTTTTGCAACTGTAAAGCAACAGAAGGTAAATTTAAGTATGGCACATCAATAAGGTTTACAATTCTTTGTCAATCTGTTGAGTGTTAATATATTTTCAGAAGCTACGTGATGGGAGCAACGTTCTCTAACCAGCTGAGTCATTTATTATTTGATAAAGAGCAGCTCAGATGTCATGCACTACTTAAAAAGAGATAAGATAAGTCTTTATTGATCCCCATAGAGAAAATTCAAGCATTGCAGCAGCACAAGACACAAAAGAATACAAGAGATAAAATTAAAGCCGCAGGCGGCGATGGACAGGTCCTCCCTGTACGATTGTCGGCCGTCGCCCACATCTGGGTGTGGCGCAAACGTGGTCCGGGGGGGCCTCTGAGCCGGCGCGTCGAGTTTGGGGCAGATTGACGCACATGTGACCTTGTTACAAGCCACTTCCTGTGTAGTGGCAAGTCGCGGCGGCGTGCATGTTGGCCGTGGCGGAAACACGCTTTGGCTGAGACTCGGAGCACGCGTGTAAACTTTCAGGCCAATCGGAGCACGCACAGGCCAGTTACACAGTACGTCTCGTATTCTGGTGTTTTATGGTGTTGTGGCCAAGTTCCAGGGGGCGCCATTTCCACGCCGTCAGACTTTTGCAGATCGTTGTACTAACTTTTAATCACTACCTCCTGTAGTTCATGCTGGCCAAATTTCACGTGTGTATGACCTTCCCTGTAGGAGAAGATAGATTTTGAAAATAGCCAACAATGTCAGCCAAAATCGCCAAAATTGTCACCGTCTTTTTGCAAAATGGTGGACTTCCTGTTGAGTTTAGGGCTTGACTTTTTTGTGCGTCCTGACCTGCTACACATGCCCACCGAATCTTGTAGGTGTAGGTGAAATGGTCTTCCGGCTGGACCCAGTTGAATGCAGGAAACACAACAAAAATGTGCAAAATGGCCTTTCATCAAAATTGCACGGGCCGCCATTTCCTTGCACTGGTCGTGCTCGGACCCTAAATATAATTTAAATCTTTCAAGAATCAGTGAATTTATGGTCAGTTTAGAGCATGACATTTACTCCACTAACCAATATGGAACTATTACTGCATCACAAGCATGACAAATCTAAACATCCATAATATAAACTAATGGAAAAACAATAATCCCAAAATTGAAATTCATGAAACAGTGTATACCTTTGTTACTGTTTAAAAAGTAGAGGGGAAACATTTCAGTGAGAATCACACGACTGTAAATAGCAGGAAGTGAAGATTCAGGTCAAATCAGAGCACTTTGACTGTTCTGCTGACTGTATCATTCAGGGTAGAGACGTGCTGATTGGGAAGCTAACCTAGAATCCTGTCTCTCTGATTGGGATGATCAGTGTCAGACTATTTAGGAAGGATGCATAATATTTGTGAAATGACACAATACTGGCATCTTTTCTAACACAGCATTTGATAACAATCACATTCAAAACAACCAG